TTGAGGCTTCGGCCGCAAGTTCCTATGTCCAATTTACTGAATAAAACCCTAGGCCCAAAAGAGGCTAGTTGAATATCAAAAAAAAAAATATAATAACTTATAAGTTTTGTATACTAACTTTATGCAAACTGATAATTAAATTTATATAAACTGTCAGTCAAATTCATACAAACTAACAGTTAAATTCATACAAACTAATAGTCAAATTTGTACAAATTGATAGTCAAATTCATATATAATACTTTTAATTAAATTGTAATATCTTATAACCTAGTAACTTAAATTATATAAATTTGGTATCATTTGATTTATTGAAATTAGCTGAATTAAATGATATCAAATTTACATAATTTAAGTTACTAGGTTATGAGATATTGTAATTTATTTAAAAATGTTATATATAAATTTAACTATTAATTTGTACAAATTTGATTGTCAGTTTGTACAAAATTGACTATTAGTTTGTATGAATTTGACTGTCAGTTTGTATAAATTTAACTGTTAGTTTGTATAAATTTGATTGTCAATTTGTACAAAGTTAGGATGCAAAATCTGTATAAAGTGAATAAGTTGTTAATTTTTTAAGTAATAGATTGTGAGTTCAAAATCCTTAATGATAAAAATTTAAATAATTACCAATATAATATATAGACAGTATTATAGTGATACTATTCTGTTGATTAGTTAAAATATGATACCTATAACTATAGTTATACCAATATGACTAACAGATTATAAGATATCTGTATAACTAGTTATACAAAAGAATGCAAACTAATAATAGGCAATTCAAATTCAAGATAAGTTCTTGTAATTATGTAAATTCATAAACAGAAAAACCAGAATTCACTTGAAAAGATCCAAGTAAAAAAATAGTACAGATCTTTGATAGTACTATTGTAAAAACTAGATCTAGAAAACAAATATCAATGTGAAGAAATCAAATAGACAAGAACTTCAGATGAGGAGTACTATCAACTAGTCTACTAGAAGTTTTGAACTAAAGAAAAAGATATCAAATATCATAATCTTGATATACCAAAAATAGGTTATAGTTCTTTTAGACTATCTGGATTAGAAGCCTTATGCCAAAAACAAAGATATACTATAAGTACTAAAAAATATTATAAAGTAGATACTTAGGTCTGAATGAACTTTGCAAGAGTAAATCCTATTAACAAGAACTAAATATAAGTTGTTAGTTAGCAGAAAAGTCTTCTAAAGCCTTACAGTTAGGTGATGTATTCTGAAATATGTATAGGTTAATAGATATATAAACAAAAAGATTAAAATTAAGTTAGATAATATTTAGATGTCAAAATTTGAATGATTATCTGTTAAGTGTAGTATAAGAATTAGAGTATTTAGTTAGATAATTTTTTGGAAAATTACAGATATAACAGCTAATGCAAAACCTGCAAATAAATTACTTAAATTGACAACTAAAAGTTATATATATGGTTAGTTGCATACTTATTTTGTACAAGTTATATAATCATAATTAAATTATAATAAAAGCAATAACTGCCAATAATCAACAGCCTTAGTGACAACAAAAAAAAAATACTGCTATAATATAATCTTTATTTTTAAATATTATCAAATAAAATTTTATATAAATATTTTAAAACTTAAAAAAAATAAATCATAAGCATATTTTTAATAATTTTCTAGACAAATTTGTCTAAAAAAATCTACAAATTAAAAACTAAATTTTTTTAAAAAAAATTTAATGTAAACTATATGTTCTTGTTTTATTCTAAGTTTTATTTCTAATTTTAATAATAAGATTTACTTAGTTTAAAAAATTGTTAAATTTATATAATATCTAAATATATATAAATAATTTCTAATAAAATTAACTACTGATTCTGCTAAATTAATTCAATAATATATTGGTTTTATTTTTAAAAAATACATTTTTAAAATTTTATTTAAAAAACAGTTTAAAGAATACTACTCTTGAATTATTAATTGTTTAAACTCTATACTACAATGTTCAAAAGCTGTCAATCCATCTTCATCTTTTAGTAAAATGTTAGCACCATTTTTATACAAATATCTTGCGCAATCTAGGTGCTCAGAAATACATGCTATATATAAAAATTGTCAATAATCGTGTAACAATCAATAATTTAAAATTATATTAGATATAAATTACCATAATGTAAAGGAGTCTCATTTCCAGTTGTCTAAAACATATATATGATAAAAATAAAAATTTTATATTTAATAACTAATAAGTGAATTATATACAAATAATAGTTTTATCAATATTACCAAAACGTTCATATCGGCACCTTTTTCGACCAATAATTTAACAACATTCAAATGTCCTCGATCACAAGCCCAATGCAAGAGTGATAATCCCTTCAGTTTATAGAATTTTTGAATCATTAGAATAAAAAAATAAAAATAAAAAAATATAAGTAAAAATCAAAAATAAACAAATAATCGTTAGATGTTACCTGGTCATCTTTGGCATTTACATTAGCTTCTCCTGATTCTAATATTCCGCTTATCTCAGACGACTTACCTTGCTTGGCGTATGAAAAAACATCATCACTATCACTATTTAAGAAAAAAGAAAGAACGTGAGCATTGTGACCTAAAAAATTTGTTCAGAACCAATTCTAATTTGAACCAACAATTTAGTTCGATTTGAATTTTTATTCTGGTTGGCTAATCACCGAGTATAGCCTACTAAGTAAATTGACATTTCCTGGATTCTTGCTAAAGGCGTTCCATTTTTTTTTTTTTTACTGCCAACTCAAATTTAGCAAGAATTTCAGAGTATATAAGTCGACGGACTTTAATAGTCATAAGATCGATTTACTTAGTAAGAAATAAGAGCCTCACTAATAATAATGTTTGATATCTGGATTCTAATATTGGAAAACAAGTATTGTTCGGACAAATTCAATTGCAATATATAATACTAACTTTGTCGTTGCCTCTTCTTCATATGACAAAGTGGAAACATATGTCCATCTATCTTGTGGAATAGCCTTCGTTTCCTACTCACCACATCCTAGTAAGAACAACTATGATCCCAAAATCTAACAAATTAATAAACCATTTGAAAAAAAACGCTACATTGTCTATTTTATCATTTCCATCATCATCATCATCCGATGAACTTTCTTCATTGTCCACATGATCTTTACTCCATCCAACCTTTGCTTGTTCCAAAATATCGATATAACGTTGCTTTGCATCCTCTTTTGAAATTTCACCTAGTTCGTTCCAGGAATCCCACTTTGCTCTACCTCTAAAATCTAGTAAAGAAGGTTTTGGAGCATTACAAGTGCCAATCGTTGCAGCTTTATAAGTACCATAAAGCTTTTAAGAATAACAAAAGTTAATTAAATTTACATAAAAAGGAGAAAACAGAGATAATATTACCTTTAATTTAATTTCATCAGATAGCTTGATATTTGAATGTTTATTAAGATACGTATATGCAGAGATAAACTGCGCTGATAACATATCTGTTTCACCCATTCTACGTATAAACTTTCACGATCTTGGTAAACTTTGACAATCTGGGCTCATCCTAATTTTTATATAGATGATGTTCGTGTAACAATTGCATACAATGTTGATTGTGATTGGATATTAGTATACGTGGTAAAGACATTAACTGACATATATATCTGTTACTTGGGTTCTTTAATAAATTTATGAGCATTTTTTTTTATCCTAACAATGGTCTAAAATGCTTTTAAATGCTTTCTTTTGATAAAATTTAATGGTTACTAGGCTACAATTAATTTCTGCTACGTAGCAATTTACTGATCCAATAGCAGGATCACGTGCAACACATTATATTGCGATTTAGCTAGCACTACCGCCCATCTAAACTTAGCCTTAAATCTGTTATGCTCTCCAGGTTAGTAAGAGAACATAATCAAAAACAACAAGCTATAAGACGTAATAATGGTACGCATATTTCTTATATTTTAAACATGCTTAACAGTCGTACCGGACATAACAGTATTTTAACGTGAGTTTTAACCTTACAGAGCAACTTAGAAAAGAAGCTACACAGGCTGTAGGAGAATTAACTGATTGCTTAGCGGACACATTAAATGAAAGGCACGTGCAGTCTTCAAGATTTTAAAATTCTGTTTCATATTATAAGCATAAATTTAACGTTGCGTTCTTATCTTTTAGAGTCACTTCAATATTTAAAACTCAGCGCGAAATTGAAGCTGAAGCTCGTCGTCTTTCCGCGCAGTCTGCAAAATTCACAAAACAAACAAAACAATGGTTGAATATGCTAGACGGATTTAATTCTGCTTTAAAGGTTCGAATTGTTCACTTGTTTCGCGTCTTTAAAAATCTTATATTCATATTTCTCTTTGTTATGTAAAGGAATTGGGAGATGTACAGAATTGGGCTGAAGTAATTGAGAGAGATATGAAGGAGATAGCAATGACATTGGAATTCGTGCATAAAGGTGAGTGATCTTGGACGTGGAACTTTGGAAATTTTCTAATATTCCGGTGTTATAATGAAAAATTCTACTGGAAGAATCATCTCATTGGAATGAAGATACACAAATACGCATTTATTAGCTAATATTAAAATATAATTATACAATAAAGTCATGTATATTGTCATATGAACTTATAAATATACAAGTGTTACTTTCTAAAAATTGCGATTATAACCAAATTTATGGATCTTGAGGCCACGAATTCACAAGATAGTATGTTAATCAGAAGGCAATTTCTGAGCATGGCTGAGACCTGTGGATTTTGTAATGTTCTGCGATCTTAAGGAATATCAACTTTTTAAGTGCATATTCCTTAAAAACACCATAAATCGTAAATCCACAGGACCCTGGAGCATGGTCCTTTCGAAGTTAGTGTATCATTCTTATAGCATACCAAAAATGCGTACGTACAAGGTTGTGCTCCGGAATGTCATATGATAGTCCGGAACATTATTCAGTAAAGTCTTTCCCAACATTGATAACAACAATAGTGATAACGATAATGATATATATTATAAAGTCAAATTTATTTCGTTTATATCTTTATATCTTGCCTAACATTAAGAAATAGTTATATCAAATTTGAATAATTGTGCAGAAAACTTGAAATTATAGTACCTTTATTTCTGTATTCAGCAAATATATAAAGTTTTATTAAATCGGTTATTTTTAATTTATCATATGAGAGCTAAATCCGCTTTTAATATCAGGTGTGATGTGTAGTTAAAACAAACGTGTTTTGTTTTCTAAATAAAAAAATTGGCTAAGAAAACCACGTTATCGTTATAATTAGGGTCAAGATTAGAACGATGTGACGAATATCATTAAAATTTCATGAGGAACATTTTTTTCTAATAAAAATGTAGTTATTCATGTTTTATTTCGTTTCGATTTTTACGTTACGTATGATTTTTAAATTCGATTGGTCAAAATTACAATTTTTTGTGGGCATTTTCCAAGAAACCAAAGGTATGTCACATGACAATGTCAATTTTTGTACACCAGGCATCCTAAGTACGACGTGTCAGCCAAAAACAAGTGATCGAAACTCTCCGAACATGAGTTAAAGAATGTATAACGATCGGACGATGCATTAGGGACAATGAAGTTATAATCACATGATTAAATCGAAGGATATTTATCGTTATTTTATTTTATTCTGAAAAAAAAACAAATTTTTATTACCCGAATTTTTTGATTTTTAATCTTAATTATATTAAGCATGAAAATAATAAAAGTGAATCATTGTATTTTAGAAAAGTTTTAATGAATGCGTCATGTATAAAACCTGGTTAATATTGCAAAATTTTATTTTTGAACTTAAAGAACCTTCACAATTACTTTCTCATACAGAACAGCACATTACCAAGGAATTTAAGACCACTTGTTAACTGCAAGTGGTACATCAATCATTAAAATACCATAAGAATGTTAAACCACCAAAAAGTAGTTTTTTTCTTTTAAAGATATTTATCGATAGTATATTCAAAAGAAATAAAAATATTTTGATATCCAACAAAGAAATCGAATCAAACTTCAAAAAGGACGGGAATTATAAAACAGTTCGAAAAAAAAATTGCGATAGGAATATTAACGAAAAAAGAATTTTAGAACCTTTAGCGTGGCCTAGAATAAAACAAAAATTTAAAAGTGATTACTGTTTCTGATAAGAAATTATTAGAATGAAAGTCACAAATGGACAAAAAAGTGAAAAAGAAAAAAAAAAGAAAGAAATAGAATAAAATAAAACGTGTTAATATCGATGGAGTTGCAAATTACCAAAGTCAAGGAAATTACAAACAATTAATAATGTAATTATTATATGTAATAACATTAGTATCCAGTACTTTAAAAAAAAACCCCCAAGGCTCTTAACAATTCTTTTAAAAGTTTAATAAATTTCCTAAAAACAGAAACAACTAAGTTAAACATTTTCTTTCGGCCACCATCCTATAACTTTAAAATCTTCAATCATCTCCACGAGTTTTTCGTCTGTAATTTCCGGAACTTCATATTGGAAACCAGTCTCTACGGTAATCTTCGTTCCATCGACGGATAGAGGGTTGTTACAAAGGAGTTCCTTGTCAACATAGGGTGTCAACGGCGTGTTCTTAATTTTTTTACTGTCCCTTATGAATGTCGTCCATGGACCCATGTGCTTGTCGTTACTGTCTTCTACTGCACTATCAAGATTCAACTGGTATGAAACATGAAAATAAAAGTACAATTAGGGGCATCCTTCATTGCGAATGAAAGCAACACAACGAATAACCGCAAACCTGTGCTAGATTGGATGTAATAGCACCATGAAATCCAGTCTTTATACCGAAGATGTTGCTGAGATGCTTGTTAATTCGTTCTTGGTCTAAAAACAATCAATTTATCTATCAGTTATTATTATATATATGACAAGACAGAAGACTTTAAAAAAATTGTGATAAACCATATAGAACTTACCTGTATTGCCCAAATCAGCCAAATTATAAATATAAGGTCCTTTACCGGCCTTACCATTGTTTTGATACCAAGTTGCAACATGCCATAAAGCACGTACTACATCATATACATGAACAGTGTTAATTTTAAGGTCCTTAGACCAAAGGACTTTCATCTCTTCATCTAATAATTTATAAATTCGTCCACAGACAATACGAGGAGCTATTAATAAATTAATAATTCTGTCAATCTCTAAATTTTTAAGTCAAAACTCCAATAATGATGCAATTCAAAATCGTAAACTTACTTAAACCCATAGTTGCGCCTGGACCATAAACTATAGTTGGCCGTAAGATCACGAGGTTCAGCCTACAAGTTAACAAAGTATTAGTTCGTGCATATTAATTAAATATGAATTAAAATTAATAAAAAAAGTTGCTTGCCCTTCAATGGCCTTTATCTTTTCTTCGACTTTATATTTGTACTTTGCGCACATCGTCCATGGTTTAGCCTTATCATCTTCTTTACTGGGATTCTTATCATAAAGATCAATTTCAGCCAATGCCTTAACTCCTGAATATTCAAATAATTAACTTACTTTATCTGATTGATATATTTCCGCAGTCGAAACTTCCACATATGCCTTGACATTTCTTCGAGCAGCTTCCTCTGCATTTCGGACGGACAGAGTATAGACACGCTCTTCATAAACCTGCATAGCAAGGAATTTAATATAATATTAAAAATATAAATAATACGCGCAATTTGTCTTGATTATTGAATACAATACAAATAATGAACGTTTCGATTTATTTCATAAATAAAAAAGTATTCGTTTTGAATTACTTGTGATAATGACCTTTTCGATTTGTGAATACTTTGTTTCAGCTGCTAAATTAAAGACATAATCAAATGAACCTCCGTCTGTTCGCGTAAAGGAATTTTCAATTGAAACTATCCGATTGTAATGCGATAAAAATATATTTAGATTAACCATAAATATAACAATATATAGACCTAATTACGCTTTATAACACTATAAATCAACATTTTCAAGGAATAACGAAAAAAACACGACTTACGACGATCGACAAGGTCCCTTTGCCAAACCTCAACCTTAGAAAAGGCTTCCTTTTGCCTTGGATTGAGGGCAGTTGTTACAAGTAATACTTTATCCACTACTCTTATTTCAGAGGCAAGCTCATTCTCTACAAGATAAGGAATGAAATTGCGTCCTATGAAACCTAGCCCTCCAAGAACAAGAACTGTTGGCTTGGTCATAAGTTATGTAACCTCTATTAACTAGTACTTTTAACCGTAAGTAAAAGAATAATGAAACCCTCCTTTCTTAAGGACTTCAAGATGCGAAAGAATGAATGTATAAGTGGGAATTGCCAACAATAAAGGAGTTCCTAATGAACGGTTGAAAGGATAGAAGGTTGTTTGCGATAAAAAAAAAACAAGTTATCGTTGTTTGTACAACACGGACTGCAGAATGCTGAACTTAAACGTACGTAACAGTAACAGGTAGAAACATGATTATCCAAATCTTGCAAAATGCACATTAAAGTTTAAAACCTTGCAACAATCATATAAAAGGCCTATATGCATATAGTTAGTCTTCATTTTCCTCCTTCACGTCAACTAATTAAACTTAGTGTGAAAATTAAAGAATTCGATTTCACCAAGTTTAAGTCGGTAAAACTGGTTATTCTTTCTGATTGGTTCAAATTCACCATCTAATTGATCCTCAAGAATTAATAAATAGTTTGAGTATTACTTCGATTACTAAACAAGGAGGTTTTCTAATGCAGGTCATGACGTCAGGTGTGATGTTGGTGAAACATAAGATTGAAGCTTCTAATGCTAAAAAAAAAACATTAATATATACGATTCTACGTATTCGTATTTTATTTTAATGATCTAATATAAAATGCATATATGGTGTTTAACATCTATTATGCTTTGAAGTTTTATATATAAAATTTTAACACAAATTTATATGGGCTAGGTGCTGGAAAAAGAGACCAAATCGACAAAAAATAGATTTTGCGGAAAATTGATTTTTATATTATAAAATTTATATTAACTTATAGAAAATACAGATTTCAAATAATTATACTGCCTCACCGTTAATATTAAAAAAAAATAATAATAATAATTATACTGTAAATTTTTATTAATATAACAGCATTTTTTTCTTAAGTAATAATTGTTTCTAAGTTAATTTTAAATTAGGTAAGTTTAAAAAATTCATTTTGAAAAAATTATTAATTGGTTTCTTTTTTTAGCATCTAGCTTATATATTAGAATTAATATTTATATGATGCAAGAAGTCTATACTTAACAGTTACATGAAATGTTTTAATTTTTTAAATGATTATGATTTTTTTATTTAAGAAGTTTTAAAAAAATTTGATAGTAACTTTATAAAACTATATCAGTTCTATATATATGTTAAATATCTTTTTAAAATCTTTTTATTATAATGAGTTAAAACATTTTAAAAATTAAAATTTTATAAATTTATAAATTTATATATTGTTATAAAATAATTTTTATTATTATTTTATATAATACACATATTATTATTTTCATTATTAGATATAATAACTTAGTGAAATAAATAAGTTGTCATTTTTCTAAATAGTAGGTTGGAAGTTCAAAACCTGCTAATAATGAAAATTTAGATAACTATCTGTATTATGACAACTGTTTTTGACAATTAGGTTAAGATACTTGTAATTATAATTGCACTAATATAATTGGCAGTTTATAGTGCATTTGTGTAATTGATTACATAAAAGAATATAAACCAATATTAGATAGTTCAAATCTAAGATAAGTTTTTATAATTGTATAAATCTGTAAAAACTAACAAACAAAAAATTTATTTAAAAAGACTTAAATAAAAAGATTATATAGATTTTTAATAGTACTATTATAAAGGTTAGATCTAAAAAATAAATACTAATATTAAGAAGTTAAACAAATAAGAATTCTAAATAAGAGATACTACTAATCAAACTATTAAAATCAAATAATAATAAAAATATCAGGTTAAACTGATATACCAAGAACAGGTCATAGTTCTATCAGACTATCTGAATTAAACAAATGCAAGAATATACTAAAATATTAAAGATATATTATAAAGTAATACTAAGATTTAAGTAAACTTTACAAGAGCATAGCTCTATTAAAATTTGTAAAATAAGTAAATAAATTAACAAAAAGGTTTTTTGAATCTTACTAACAGATGACAAACTTTAAAATATGCAACGGTTTAGGTATTAATACAAAAAAAAATAAAGTCAAATCTGGATAGTCCTTAATAAAAAGTAGTACAAAGTTATTTATCTTAATATAAAATAGTTAAAGTTATATAGATATTAATTAAAAACAATCTAGAGAGTTTAAATAATACATCTATAAGCAGAATTAAATATAGCAAATAGTAAATAATCTTATAATAAAATTTTTAAATAGATAATAACTAAAATTATATATATAGTTAGCTGTATTCTTACAAATTATAAATATATTTAAAGATATCATTAACTAATAAAACTAATTTGATTAAATAATTAACTATTAATTTACAAAAAAATTCTTTACTATTGTATTAGTTATTAGTTATATAATTTATTATATATAAAATTTTAATTATAAGTCAAATAATTAATATATAAATTATAGGAATGTAGTAACTTAATGAAGTAGATAAGTTGTTAATCTTTCAAGTGATAGATTATATTGTTATAAGATAAATTTCTATTATTATTATATTATTATTATATTCAGTGTTGGGCAAATCAGTAATCAAGCAAAAATTTGCTAATCAAATTGGTCTGATCAAATTGGTCAATTGGTCAAACTGGTCAAATTGGTTAAGTTATTTATATAAATATAATATACTTATTATATAATAAATTATATTCAAAATGCTATTTGACCGATTTGACCAGTAAAAATTCTTTGACCAGATCAGTCAAATGATCAAATTGGTCTGGTTAAATGGTCAAACTGGTCTGGTTAGCCCAATACTGATTATATTACTATTTTAATATATTATTATTTCTATTATTGTATTATTATTAGTAGTAGTTACTAGAACTTTTTAGTTAGTTAGTAATTACTTAGTCACTTAGACACTTAGACACTTAGTCATTTAACTACTTAGTCACTTAGTTCTTTAGTCACTTAATTGCTTAGTTACTTAATAATTAATTGCTT